ATGGTTTCCATTTCTGATTTGCTCACGTGACCAAAATTTGATTTGGGTAATTTACAATGTAGCACTTGCAAGATTACTGCTAATACTGGCAATTTTGGTGATAACATGAATGCATTTTGGGACACCATTCCAATATCAAGCCAAATGTGGCATTTACATTAAATAGAACCAGATTCATGTTGGAGGTAAAATGTACATCTGCAAAAGATGCAGTTTCCTTCTGTATTCTCTAATTCAAATTCCCCATAAACTAGCATGTATAACAACCCTAGTGAACAAGGAAATTGGCAACAGCCCAATAGATGCTTCTAATTATGATGAGGATTATTGCTGTGTCAGGATTAAGATTGTCTTAAAAAAACAGTATAAGATTGTAACATTTTTCATCTGTACATTAGTGAGTAATGAAGTTAATTAGCATAATCATATGACAGACAGATTAATTTGTCACAAATGCTGCCCACTATCTGCTATTAATGGAAATTCAATCTGTTCATTAATTAACCCTTGTCTCTTGTTTCCTGTTACCTATTTAACTTACCTCTGACTGTCTTTATCTTCAGTCCCTCGAGAGTGGTGCAATGTTTCATTATTTGTGATGGAAGAGTTTTTTCTTTCGTGGTTGACAGCTGTGTATCTGTTGCATTGTCTGTGAAACAAACTATAGTGTTAAGTAAAACTTCGCCACTCGGGTTGCATGACATTTAAAACAAAATCTGTGGTTAGGGTACAGAGGTAGGGGAGGAGCACTGGGGACAGGACATTTCAACCCCCATACACTGCACCAAAGAGGGGTAAGGTCTGGATTCTTGCCCATGATCAAAAAAACATTGTTGCCTCTCGATCAGAAGTTTGCAGAGACTTAAAATCACAGTCTAGCTCACATCCCAGTGCAGTGCAGGGAGAGCATTGCATTGTTGGAGGTGCCTTTACATCAGACAATAAACTAATGTCTTGTGTGCCTGTTCTTCAGGTAGACATGAAAGATCCAATGGCACAATTCTATAAAAGAGTGGGGAGTTCCTCCTGGTGTTGTGGCCAACAATCCTGCAGATAAACAACAACTTGCATTTGTATAGCACCCTTCACGCAGGGTAGCATCTCAAAGTGAAGATCAAATTGGCCATGCACCTCATGGCTGTTTGTATGACTTTACTGTGCACAAATTGGATGTAATCTCCGCCTTCAAATATACATTTGGCAGTAACTACCTCTGAATCTTTTTGAGATATTTCACCAGTGTGACATCAAATGTACAATATCAAATTCAACTCATATTATTTTAATAAGCAAAATAGGAATACGGTAGAAACTTGTTTGATAACCACAGAGCTTTGAGTAGGAGTATTAGGAACATTGAATTTAGGGGAAGTCCGAGGGATCGTAGGCAGTAATTCATGAGCTGTGGAGAGAATTTACTCGATGGCTTTCTTTCATTCCAGGTTTAAGCCACACTCTCAGTGTCAGAGCAGCATTAGCAAATGCTTTGGCACGTATGGATGTAGGCAAACCCAAAACATAAGGAGGTGGGGTGGATGTCATTAAAGCGGCGAGGGTTACCCACAGACAAAGAGAACAGAGAGCTCGGGTTCAGTTCTGATCGTTTTCATCTGAACAGAATTCATCAAAACAGCATTAACAGAGCGCCTTGACTTTGAACAAGGTCGTGCGTTGGACTCTGTCACATCACAGTCTGACAAGAGTACAAAGGGCTGTGATTTGGCTGCAGTCTTGACTCGGTGATTTTATAGCAGTTAGACTTGGTCCACCATCTACACAGCACATTATAAATCAGTCCAATGGACAGGAAAAGTTTTACTTTGAACTTAGGTGGGAGCGTGTAAATTGGCAAATTTTACATTCAACGCTGCTATTCAATCCAGGGGCTGCTCTGCCTTTGCAATATTTTTTTTAAAAAAAGGGGAAAAATAATTGGTCAAATATTAAGATGAAACGCTTCTATAAAATCCCGGATCGAATTTCACAAACAACCCATCCTTTGATAATATTGTTCCAACGTGTTATGTGAGGGCTACGAATGATTCTCAGGAACAATTTTGTGAAGAGCTCAGATGGTGCACACCAACTCCTGCCAGTGAGTCCATCATATAAACCCCATTGCGCATTAAATCTCAACTCAGATACTTGTTTGAGGACACACACACACACACACACAGTGTGATCTTTCACACCACCAAAACAGCAACGTGAACCGCGTCTGGTTATTTATATGAAGGGTGACAGGTGTTCCAATATTGGGTCACTTGCCAGTTATATTATCACATCGACTCCAATCCGAATAGTGAATTAACTTGTCCAGCCCGACCTTCCTGTATGGAGACTGTGTTCATTTAATTACAGTTGGTATGTAAACAGAACAAAACACTGTATAAAAAAGGGATGGGGTTGGGGGGGGGGGGGTGAAAGATTTTTGACCTGATGTCTAAAAGTAAAGTGCATTGTTTTCCTACTACCCCTCTCCCCATAAAGTTACCCACCACTGTGAATAAGTCAGAACACAGCCAGTTCCTGCGGCTCTTCTACTGCTGAGCATGGGGTGACTCTGTCTGTTAGATGGCGTGCAAGAGCCACCCACCGGGTTATTCGGAGCGAATAGAGGGCTGCGTGAACAATAAAAGTTGCAACGTTGCATTGAACAATAAAAGTTGTATTTCAATGATCTTGAGAGACCACCAAATTGGGCGAAAGTACGGTGGGCGGAGGGGAGGGTCGGGGAGGGGTGTTGGGGTGGGAGGTTACACATAATAAACACGAGACAATGTAAGAAGTGTTATAGAAATAGTTCCATTTCAAAGCGTTGGGTCGCCTCAACCGGTCCTGATGTCGCTAAGGGTGGTCGGGTGGTCGCTCACCTGTCATTTCAGACACGAGTTGGTTCCTGGTGCTGATGTAGCTCTGCAGCCTTTCCCAACCCATCCGTGTGTGCTGCTCGGTGCGTCCTTCGGTGTCTCTGTCCATGTTGGTGGCACCTAAACACGCAGTGTGGCCACAGCACATCAGAGAGCCAGAACTCACTCTTGACTTTGGGAAAGTACAGCAGCGAGGAGTTACCTGGTCGTTTTCAGAGGGACCTACTCGAGATGTGTTTCCCCAGGGGTTTGTTTTGCCTGGTGGTGTCCTGCCAGGGGTTGGAGGTGAATGGTGGTGGGGCCGCTCTGGCTCGGTTCTCCTTTGCGGAGATTTGCTCTAAAACGGACGGAGTTGTTTGAAGATGTTTTATTTGTGTGTGTGTGTGTGTGTGTTGGTGTGTGTGTGTGTGTGTTGGTGTGTGTGTGTGTGTGGGGCGTCTCGATTTCTCAGGAGCTGAACTTTGTGCAACTTTCAGGCTGTGTTAGAGTCGTTGCCATGACCCCAAAGCACTCCACTTCTCCCAGCCAGTGGAGAGAGTCTGGTTCAGAAGGAACACAAGAGAAGTTCAGCCTCACTCCCATCATTTTGTTTTGATACTCTCATTATATATATATATCATTATTTTGTGTTTTGTCCACGAACCACACAGTCAAGTCATTTTACACTTGACACCTTTTAAAGTCATCCGTGGCCTTGCTCCCTTCTACCTCTCTGACCTGCTGACTCCCTACCAACCTGGTAGGGAGTCCAATCGGGCTACCAATCAGGCTCCGGCCTGCTCCATGTCTCCCGCCCTACCGTCGGTGGCCGGGCTTTCAGCCTCTCTGCCCCCACACTCTGAAACTCCATCCCATGGTCCCTTCACCTCGCTTCCTCCCTTGCATCCTTCAAGATTGGTCTCAAGACCCTTCTCTTCGACCGTGCCTTTGGTCGCCTTCCCACCTCTCTGCCTTCCCTCACCCCTATACCACCCCTCCCCCATGCTCGGGCCCCGACACCTGATTGTTCAGCGCTTTGGGACATCCTCCTGACATCCTCCTGGCGTGAAAGGCGCTCTATAAATGTAATTTTGTTGTTGTTGTTGTACGAGATAGCTCAAGACATGATAAGGTCACATATCAAATGTAAGGATTATTATTATTACTATCATTACAGGACGTTAGGGATGTGTTCTCTGACACTGAGGTGGTGTTTTTTTTCTCTGGTCAACCAAGTGTCTGCCACATTGGGGAAACCCACTGCAGTGCTGAAGAGTATTCAAACTAGATACCTTCACATTTGAATGGAAATTTCCCTGTGGCTGGAAATGGACTGTCTCCCTGGAGAGGTGCACCTTGCTTAACTAAGTCTGACAAGTGTTTTGCCCACAAAATACACAGTTAATTCACTTTAGAATATATCATGTGAAGCAATTTGAGACGACAATGATCAGATGCTATATCAACTGCAAGGATTATTATTAGATGCAAGTTGGCAAGAGCCAAGGCTCCCAGGCTCAAGAGTGTGAATTTCAGGTACTGCTGGAGTTGAACCAGCTACCACATCAAATAATAAAACATTCATTACTATGTCTCCTCCCCTTTAAAACATTAATAAGGAATTATGCAGATGAACCTCTGGATCAGTCAACTCATGATGTTAATGATAAGGTGTCTTCCACTGTCACATTGCCAAAATATAACGAAATACATTGGAAACTGAGCAAGAAAATGATGTCCCTAATTACAAAATTGGTCATCGTTTTCCATTTCACACACATTTATATATATATATATATATATTATATAAACAAAACCCGTAGTTTGAAGCATAATTCAGTTTAATACATAATTCACAGCTTTGGAAACCAAATAGCATTGCATGGTGAACAAAGCATGAGAGTTGCCAAGACATTTCTCTTATTTTTTTTAAAAAAACACAGAGATCAAAGTGAAGGGTTTAACAGATGCAGCAAAAAAACCCACAAAATTGTTAAAAACTGGGGCTCAATCGTTTGCTACCCCCCAAAGCAAGTGGTGAAACGAGGAATCTTGTCTCTTTTTGTCTCAGGCTCAGGGCAAGTTCTGCAGAGTTTGACTGTCATCTCTTTGCAGCCGGAACCCGGGGCGCGGCGCCGGTTGCGCGGGGACCCGTTCAGCTGTCGGAACGGAAGTGCGGACGCGGGGGACGCGCGGAGAGCAGCCGGAGCCGCAGGTAAAGGAGATAGAGAGAAACCAGAGACCCGGAGAGAGAGAGACAACAACAACAACTTGGATTTATATAGCGCCCTCCACCGCCGGACGGCGTCTCAGAGCGCTTCACAGTAACGGATCCCGGGGCCGATCCAGGGGGGAGGGGGAGGAGCCGGGGTGGGGGTGGGGGGTGGGGAGGGGGGGAAGGTGACCAAAGACGCGGTCGAAAAGAAAGGTCTTCAGCAACGACCTGAAAATAGGAGCGAGGGGGCGAGGGGAAGGGAGTTCCGGAGCCTCGGGGCGTAGTGGCTGAAGGCACGGCCGCCCGGGGGGGGGGAGCGGAGGACTCGGGGGACGGGGAGGAGACCAGACCCGGAGGTACGAAGGCAACGGGTACTGTGTTGAGGAGAGAGGAGGTCGGGGGGTGCAGAGGAGTGCAGGGATTTGAATACAAGGGTGAGGGTTTTGAAATGGATCCTCTCTGGGACAGGCAGCCGGTGCAGTCTGGCGAGGCCTGGGGCGATCGGGGAGCGGTGGTCCGTGCGGGTGAGAATGCGGGCGGCAGAATGATTTGAATGATTTGGATTTTATGGATGGTAGTGGAGGGGAGACCGGCGAGGAGGGCGTTAGAGTAGTCCAGCCGAGAGGTGACGAAGGCATGGACCAGAGTTTCAGTGGCTTTTGGGGAGAGGTATTGGCGTAGACAGGCGGTGAGTCGGAGGTGGAAGAAAGTGGTGCTGGTGAGGGACCGGATGTGGGGGAAGGAAGGATAATTGGGGGTTGACCTGACACCTAGGTTGCGTATGGGTTCGGAAAGTTTTAGGGGGAGGTGAGAGCCGTGAGATTGGAGGGGTTCAAAGGGAGTGGGAGGAGAGGTGTGCACGAAGTTGGTTGGCAACAACTCATTCTAGAACTTTTGCGAGGAAGCGCAGGTTAGAAATTGGGCGGTAGTGGCTGGGGTTTGAGGGATCTAGGGAGGGTTTTTTCAGGAGGGGTGTGATGACAGCAGTTTTGAGGGAGGCAGCAACTGATCTGGAGGAGAGAGGACTGGTTGATGATGTCAGCCAGTAGTGGGCAGAGGAGGGGGAGCTGGGTGACCAGTAAGTTGGTGGGGAGGGGGTCGAGGCAGCAGGTGGTGGGTTTCATGGAGGTGATGGTGGGTGAGAGGAAGGAGGGAGAGATGGGGAGGAAGGAATGTAGAGTGGGGGTGGTGGTAGGAGCAGATGATGAGGAAGGTGAGGGGGACAGAGAGGGCGTGGTGGTGGATGACAAGGGGCAGGTGGATGAGGCTGTCTGGCAGATGGTAAGTATTTTAGGTGAAAAGAAGTCCATGACCTCCTCGCACTTGGCATTTGATACGAAGATTAAGGAGGCCTGAGAGGGGGCAAGGAGGAGGTAGTGGGTGGTGGAAAAAAGGATTTTAGAGTTGTATTTAGCCTCCAAGATGATGTTGGAGTAGAAGGCCGTTTTTGCGCGTGTCAAAGAACGACGGTAGCTGTGGAGATGTTCGAGCCACAGTTGGCGGTGAACTGTCAGGCCAGTTTTCCGTCATCTGCGTTCGAGCAGACGGGTTTGGGTTTTTTGGCGGCGGAGATGGTTGTTGTACCAGGGGGATTGGGTGGGTTTGGAGATGGTCCTGGATTTTAGGGGGACGAGGGAGTTGAAGGTGGAAGAGAGGCGATCATGGAGCAGGTGGACGGCTGCTTCAGGATCTCTGCGGGTGGAAGGCCAGAGGGATAGGATGTTTGATGATGAGAGGGCCTTTGTGAGGGTCTCATGGGGTAGCCTTTTCCAAGGGCGGTAGAGGATGGTTGAGGGCTTGGTGGAGGAGAGACGGATGTGAGAGGAGGAGGAGATGAAAAAGTGGTCCGAAATGGCCTTGTCCACTATGCAGAGGTCGGAAATGTCAAGCCCATGGGTGATGACGAGGTCAAGTGCATGACCACGGTTGTGGTTGGGTGAATTTATATGAAGGGTAAGGTTTAGGGAGGAGAGGAGGGCAGTGAAATTGGCAGAAGTGATGCATGGGGAGTTTAGGTGGAGGTTGAAGTCGCCCATTATGAGCAGGCATTCGGAGCAGAGGGACAGGGAAGAGAGGAGAGTAGAGATTTCTATGTGGAAGGAGCCAGGGGGCTTAGGGGGGCGGTAGACAAGGAGGATTTTTAATGGGAGAGAGGGGTGGAAGAGGGTGAGGTGCTCGAAGGAGGGGAAGCAGCCAGAGGAGTAGGGGGTGAGACCAAGGGAGGCTTTGAAAATGAAGGCCACTCCGCCGCCACGTTGGTTTGGTCATGGATGGTGAGGGCTTTATAGATTCATAGAATGTTACGGCACAGAAGGAGGCCATTCGGCCCATCGAGTCTGTGTCGGCTCTTTGACAGAGCAAGTCACTTTCACTGACCCAATCACCAGCTTTCTCCCCCTAACCCTGCAAACCCATCTTCCCCAAATACCTATCCAGTTCTCACTTAAAAGCTGTTGTCGAATCGGACTTCACTACCCTTTCAGGCAGATCATTCCAAATTCAAACAACTCGCTGAGTGAAAAAATTTCTTCTAACCTCCCCTCTGCTTCTTTTGGTAGTTATCTTAAGACTGTGACCACGGGTTACAGACACACCTACCAGTGGAAACAGCTTTTCCTTATCAGCCTGTCGAAACCTTTCATGATCTTGAAGACCTCTATTAGGGACCCGCGTAACCTTCTCTCCTCTAATGGGAAAAGTCCTAACTTCTCCAGCCTGTCCTCATAGCTAAGGTTCCCCAATCCTGGTATCATTCTCGTGAATTTCCTCTGCACCCTTTCCAGTGCCTTAATGTCGTTCCTGAAGTAAGGTGCCCAGAACTGAACGCAGTACTCCAGCTGAGGCCTAACCAGTTTTGTATAGATTAACCATATTATTTGATATTTTGGAGGGAAATGCGGGAGGGTTTGCTGGAGTGGGGGGGAGAGAGGATAGAGTGGTGCAGAGAGGATTTTGGGTTGGATAGGAGAGATGGTTGTGGAGAGTGGTGTGAGTGGAGAGTTGGGGAGGGTACGTATGAGGGAAGGGGGAGTTGGGTTTGCTTTAAGGGGGCGGTTTGAGTGGAGGGAGTGATTGATGGGACATGTGGGGTTGCTGCTCTGCGATGGGCCCAGCGGAGGATGCTTAGGCTGGAGCAGAGGGAAGTGGTGATGGGATCGAAGAGAGAGAGAGGCAGGGAGGGCGGTGGGAGAGAAGGACAGACAACAGCAACAAGATTGCATTTATAGAGCGCCTTTCACGTCAGCAGATAGAGGGGGGTGGGAGGAGAGACATAGAGGGGGGGGCCGTGAGGAGAGACATTTGGAGTGGCTCGGGTCGGGGCAGCAGCCAAGACGCGCATGCAGAGACCGGGAGCAAGCGAGGGATCAGTGGGACGGCATCAGCCCTCAGGCTTAGCCTCCCAGGTCATGGCCGGGATGGCAGTGCCAGGGGTCAGGACATTGTTGTTGCTGTTTTTTTTAAAATAAAAGTGTATTTAACTGTGAAGTCACGCCGATGTCACTTTGTGAATCGCGCCTTCCCGTCACTTCCCCCCCGCGCGCGCTCTCCTGCCTCTGCTCCCGACTGAGCAGCTCCTCACCTGACAACCATTGGCTAAGTTCACACTATGACGTTTAACCTAGCAAAATCTTTGGGAGTGGAGAAAGTTGGTTTAAAAAAATAAACATGTCTTTAATGCAGATTTTGAAACTGTCAGTGGTTCGCTTATCCATAGAGATTCAGAAAGATTGCTAGATAAAGTAACTTTGGTACTTATTTCCTCCAGTTTGGGCAGAACAACTAAAATTTTAACATTTGAATATGGAGACTGAATCACAAGGCAAGAAACTAATGGCGCCCACTGTATCTCAGATAAATGCTGAGTATGTTACTCAGGTAAGCACTTCAGTCGTCTGTGTTATTTCAAATGTGGAAAGTATATAATGCAGATGTTCATGCAGATCTCTTATAAAAAATGCCTAAAATCTGTATCATTTCATACACAGTGGAAAAGTACAGGTTTGATCCCACAAAATGATTCAATTAAGCTTGATGTTTGCAATAAACACTCCATTCAGTATATAAACAGCAAGCATATGTTTATACTGAAAATAATTCTGTTTAATTTAGGACAAAAGTAGTTTTTTTTAATTTAGATGGTAGAAAGTTATATGATTTGTTTTACAATGACTGATGTTATTGTTAATGACTTTATGATCACATTTGTTGTGTAAATACTGTCAAGCAATGCTACTTGTGTATCACAGATGTTACATATTAGCCTACTGAAGAGTGTATTGGAATATTTACAAATCATCTGCATTTTCAGCTGTCAAATAAATATTGGGGGCCTCATGTGAAGAAGAAAATGACATTTGATTGTAAGGTAATGTCACGTTTTGATTTTGATATTTGAAATGTGCTTTGTACCAGTAACTTAATTATTTGTAATATGTTTTGAAATTGTGACCTTTTTTGTAGAAAGCTTATGATAAACTTTGTTTGTGCTGTACAATGTTCTACGCTCTAGAAATTAGTTAGGAGATATTGTGGAAGTGGTTTACATTAGGAGTCTCAACAAAGTATTATAAGATAAGCTTAGCTCAACAGAAGCATGATCACTTAATATTGTTTGTGTGTACAACGTATTCTCAGCCTAGCAGGAGCATGGAGTAATTTTGCAGTACACTTAAAGTATTCTTGTATCCCAGCCCCCAAAAATGACAATTGCATGTTTTTTTTTTTCCCTTGTGCTTCAGGTTATTGAGGATGTATATCAAAAAGAAATTGTAAAAACAAGGTGAGTCAAACTCTTTATCATGGGATGGGATGTTAAAGAATTGACAGCCCCCTTATGGTGTGGCAACGAGAACGTTAGCCAGTATTCTAGGAACACCCTGACCCGAACGTGGAGTCCTGTAGCTCAGGTGGAGTCCTGTAGCTCAGTGGTTAGAGCACTCGCTTTGCAAGCGAGACACCTGGATTCAATTCCAGGCAGGGCGAAACCTTGGGCAAGTTTCCTTACTCCACACGCCTAATAATTATCCCTCCAAAGCCAAAAACAATAATAAATTGGTCATTTTCAATCTGCGACTGTTTGTGGGACATTGCTGTGCGCAATTGGCTGCCGCGTTCGCCCACAAATATACAGTCAATTCACTTTACAGTGTGTTCTGTGAAGCGCTTTGGGACGTCCTCCCGACATGAAAAGCGCTATATCAAATGCAAGGATTATTATTATTATACCTGGTTTCTGAGAATTGAATTTGACTGATTTAAATATCGAATTTAGAATCCATTCTGTTTGTTTTTATTGCCATCTCATTGTTTGGACATAATGATTGACATGTCATCTGATACTCCCAGTCTTATTTTAGCTTTCCTCTCAACAACTACTGCACATGCCTCCTATTTTACTTTCTCCATGTAGTATCTTGCGTTGGTCCATATTGAAATTAATTTCCCTGTTGTAAAGCTATTCTTGGTGTTTAATCTATTTTTGATACTTAGGGGTTTTTATTATTGCTATGTTAGTTGTTTTCAGTTTCAGTACCATGAGCTAAAATGTACAGAATAGCTTGGTCTAAGGAAAGCTAGTTCTTCGGGAAATCTAATGGATAAGTTTACTGAACTTCCACAAAGAATGGCTTAAAGGTTCTATTCCAGACTGAAGATTTCTCTTTTTGCCTGAAGAACTAAACATTCTTTTCCTTATGCTTTTCAGATTTGCAATTAGAAAAATTATGCTGCTTGAATTTAGGTAAGTGTTATGAGGCCAAATATTCTATAAACAGCAATGAGGTAAAAAAAAATCTTTGTTGATGAAGGAACATTTCCTGAGAATGCTCTGCTCTTCAAACTGGTGCCATGAGATGCTAAATATCCATATGAAAGGGCAGATAGCACCTTGTTTTATTCTTTCATTCAAAACAACAGAAGCTCCAGCAAGCACTGCCTTTGTGTACAGAGATTATGTGTTTAAATCCTGATTTAGGATAAATACGTGCAGCATCTGACCCAGAGATGAGAGTGAACTAAACTGACACATGTTCTCTTATTTAATAGCCAATATCTGGAGAACTATTTATGGCCAAACTATTCCCCAGAAGTGTCTAGTAATGCCTACTTGATGTCCATTTGCTGTATGGTGAATGAAAGTTTCGAGAAAATGTTGCTGCCTGGGAGGTAAGGGAGACCTGCATGCTTGCAATCTATAGATGAATTTCAGGAAGCAATGAGACAAATGTTCTGAGCAAAATGATGCATACATGACATTAGTAGATGTCACAAACTCTGTCCCCTGTAGTTAACTTCATACATAAACAGTATACAGTTGACTCCTCATAACTCAACCCTGGCTTAACTTGTCACTGCCACTTAAATCATCATGTTGTCAATGCCCCATTTATTTCTCCTGATGTCTTGGCAACAAATCCCCTAAATAAAATTGGAGACTCACTCCATGGTTGTTTGTGAGACATCGCTGTGCGCAATTGGCTGCTGTATGTTACTGATAAAATACAGTCAAATCCACTTTACAGTGTATCATGTGAAACTCCAATGTCAAATCCAAGGATGATGATGATTATTATTTATGAATTAAACATTTGCCTAACTTACCACTCTGGATAATTCATCACTGAGCGCTTTCCCCTTGAAGTAATGAGTTAGCAGGAGTTTACTGTATTGGGGTATATTGTTAGTGTGATCAGCATGCTTTGTTTGCATGGTTTGCTGTTTCTATTTATAATCTGAAAAGGAAACATTTTAATACCACCGGACAATGATTCATTACATTTTGTGTCTTTGTACTTTAGACGTTTAAACAAAAGCAGGAGCATTTCCCTCACTTTTTCAAATGCATTTTGACTGCATCTCTTGCTGAAGAAGATGAGAAACTTTCTTTACGGGAACAGACTGTCCTTTTGGTCTTTCTTGATCATTGCTTCAACAGCTTGGTAAGTAGTTTTGGCAATTATGATGAATTAGGAATTTTAGCGAGGTCACTCGATCGCATTCAAGATTTTAAAGTGTCCGCTTTTACCCTCTGTAACTTGGGGGTCACTGAACTCAGTTGTTTGGCTTGGTATGACCGACAGCCTCTGCAGTTGCTTAAAGAACTGGATTCAGTAATCTTTCCATTCTCGTATGCTGATCTGGAGTTAATATTCGATAACTTAGTATTTGCTAAGTACTGTACACAATCCTAATGACAAATTCTTGTGGAGGTCCAAATTCTGGTGCAAGATATATACTTATTTATACACTAATATGAATAGTACTTCTTTGCCATTTGTTTTGATTATGCTGTGTTTCACTTGGTCTGAATCATGTTGTCCCATATAAATAATTTTAGTCTCGTAAAGTATCGTACGAACAGAGTATTTCTTTATATTATTCCAACAGGAAGTGGATCTAATTCGAGAACAGGTGCAGCGGCTTATCTCGCTTCCTATGTGGATCTGTCTGCTTCCGGTATGTTCAGCGATATTAATTTCATGTTCGTGTACCAAAATTAATATAGGTTAATGGAAAATAATAATAATAATCCTTGCATTTGATATAGCGCTTTTCACGTTGGGAGGATGTCCCAAAGCGCTTCACAGAACACACTGTAAAGTGAATTGACTGTATATTTGTGGGCGAACGCGGCAGCCAATTGCGCACAGCAATGTCCCACAAACAGTCGTAGATTGAAAATGACCAATTTATTATTGTTTGTGGTTTTGGAGGGATTATTATTAGGCTCTGTGTGGAGTAAGGAAACTTGCCCAAGGTTTCGCCCTCTGCCTGGAATTGAACTCAGGTCTCTCGTTTGCAAAGCGCGTGCTCTAACCACTGAGCTGCAGGACTCCAAAATGCAAAATGCAGTTGTAGTAAAAAAAATTTGGTTTCTTTTTCAGTTAATACCTAAGTTACAATCTGTTACCCAGAACAATAATCCTTCTACATTTGATATGCATTTAACATCGATTTTTGCATCCAAGCAAGATTAGTAAATGTGGTCTCATTTAGCAACTGAATATCATTATGATAAACTCGTTAAATTTTGGAAATAAATCACAAAAGTGATGGGGAAAGGGCAGAAGAGGGGTGGAAGACTAAATGGATATCCGGGTCCCAACGGTAGCCTCCTGTATTGTAAAATTCTATCATTTCCTTCACTGGTTATTAAATCTGTATTTATCAGTCACGACTTGACCAAGAACTGAAGAAAACGCCCAAACTGAGAAAGTTCTGGAATTTGATTAAAAAGAAAGAAGAAAAGCTGGATGCGAAGTCCATAGAACAGTAAGTCTCACAATAGGTTACAGACCACTAATTTTGTAATAGATCAGAATAGTTTTTGCATTTTTTTTGGTTTAATTACATTATTCAGTAAAATTAACTAGCTGACAGTTAGAGAAACAACAGCTTGCACTTATATAACACATTTCATCGAAGATAATATTCCAAAGTACTTCAGAGAGGTGGAGGAAAGGAGCTGAGGGAGGTGTCTGAAGGTAGGTTTTTAAAAAGGGTTTGAAATCGGAGAGAGCAGCAGTGGGATTCTGATGGAGTTTTGGAAGAGGGAAAGTGGCTGGTAGCTCGGCCACCAATGGTGGGTTGGAGAGAATGGAGGATAATAATAATAATATAATAATAATCCTTGCATTTGATATAGCGCTTTTCACGTCTTCTAAACGTCTCAAAGCGCTTCACAGAATATACTGTAAAGTGAATTGACTGTATATTTGTGGGTGAAATGCGGCAGCCAATTGCGCACAGCAGTGTCCCACAAACAGTCATGGACTGAGTTTCATGTTTAAATTTTTTTTATAATTTAATTTTTAATAATTTAATGTTTAATGGGTAGAGAGGTTGGATGTTACTTGCCAAATGGATGTCTGACAATATTACAGCTTCCTGTTGCATCATTTGAATCAGATATTATCTTAAAAATGTTGAGTCTTCTAATGATGATAACTTTATAAAAATTTAAAAGATAGGATATATGTTAGGTCCAATTTAGCAGAAGAGTGGAACTCCTGACAACTCAAAAATTGTTCACTGGGCACCTTCTGTTGGGAAAGTGCCACTTTACAAACCCCTTCCGCATTGCATTGGACTGACATTAGATTATTTGTTTTTCATCCTGAAGGAGTGATCAAGAAAAACAATTTCTCTCTTGTCTGATCAGGAAGTTCCTAGGAGTACTAAAAATCATCCCTTCTTCAGGTAACTGCTCAATATCTTGCTGTTGCATCTCTTTGTCCACCTCTTCCATAGCAGAATGGTAATTCCTGTTGTATATGTTTAGTGTATAAGGTCTGATTCATGAGCAACTAGTGATGGGCAGAGCATTGGCTATATTTGTTCTAGATTTTAAAAGTTTTTAAGTAAGAAATTGACAAAAAAAGACTTGATATTAATAGATTCCAATGTACCTATTACCTATTTTGATTTTAAAGATGATTCTATCCAAATGTGTAAGATAATAATTATGGCATTTGATATTGCACCTTATTAAGTCGTTGAGATGTCTGAAAGCGATTCACAGAATATACTGTAAAATGAATTGACGGTGTATTTTGTGGGCGAGAACAGGTGCAGAGGCTTATATTGATAGATTGTATTGTCATGGTATTGTATCATATTGTACTTTTTTGAATCCAAGGTGTATTTTGTAATATGCCTTGTATTCAGAAAAACATGTAAAAATAGAAACTCTGTAAATGATGTCGTGGAAACTTAAATTCCATACATTTCCACTTATTCACATATAAATGCTATCTTCCTTTTAATATTTTGGATTCTGGAAGTTGTAAGACATGTGAACCTTTTTAGTGTAACAGTATTACTTGTTTATCTACTTTACCACTTTTTTCTGATTTGAAATCCTTGAGGTTTGTGTAGTAATGTTATTTTGCCACTGGGGGACGCTGTAGTTATTCTAGTTACAAAGGATCTGCGACCACCAGTTTGAGAAAATAACTGCCTATGGTTGTGGCTGTTTTCTAGACAAATATGAAGCCCTATGTGTCAAGAAAAGGGATAATCTTATCTGCACCCATGGATGCACACGCTCTCTGCCCCCACCCTTTGGAAGTCCATCCCACAGTCCCTTCGCCCTGCTCCCTCCCTTGCCTCCTTCAATGCACATCTCAAGACCTTCCTCTTTGACTGCGCCTTCGGACACCCTCCTAGTTTCCCTGCCCTCACTCTCCCGATCCCAATCCCCTACTTGGGTCCATGTGCCTGACAGTCCAGTGCCTTAGGAGGACCTCCCGTCATGAAAGGCGCTACACAAATGTAATTTGTTGTTGCATATTCACTTAGTAATTACTGAAGGAAGACTTTGTTTTCTAAAACAAAATATCTTAGAATATATGACAAGAGCACAGTTCTTCTTAGAAATTATCCATTGGGTATATTTTAAAATACAAATGTTTATAGTCAACATTCGGATTTGAAGAGAAGCATTACTGCAGAAAATACACTTTCAATATGAATGGTTTCCTTAACAGCTAACCACTTTGGTGACATTTTTGTTACTTTATCATTTGCTTGCTTACGAGGACATGTTTTGCTGTGTTTCAAGTATATCTGCTATGTTCAGTTTTATAATTGATGACTTATTTTGTACATTTATTAGACGCTGGTTGCATTGACAAGGTCCATTACAGTGAGAGATTTATCGAGCTTATGATAGATCTAGAGGTAAGTTTTGTTTTCGTAATAATACTGGAAGATGCAATATTAACGGTGTGGATTTGTGTGCAATAAAATTCTTACCTTGGCTAACAAATTAAGATATTCTATTATTATTCTCACAAAGCAATTTTAGCAGTTTTAAATTAATTTGAATATTTTGTTACGTTTATCAAATTATGTAAGAATTATGAAAGGAAGATTATTTTAAGCATTAGTTAATTCTTGTGCTGTACCTTGCTGATTAACAACATTTTGCAGGCATTACTTCCAACTCGACGCTGGTTCAACACTGTATTGGATAATTCACACCTTGTCACGCACTGCTATCTGTCACATCTGGCCAATAAAGAGAAACAGGGACGACTTTTTTCTCAGGTGAGATGTTTGTAATAGTCATTACCCCATTACTCACAGTAGTTACATGAATGGCTAACTGCACAAAAAAAGAAGCTTTCAAAATGGAAACAGCATGGAAGTGCAGCATATGTGTGTTCCAATGTGTGGTGATGTGAATGGTCAGATGTCCAATCACAACTAATGTCCCTTCTGCAGTTAAATGACCCATCTGAGCTGTGTTGTCGCAGAGACGTGCTGTGTGGAAGCCCGTTTATTCCACCTAGAAAGAAAGATAATCACAATACCCTTAGGCTGTTGTCAGATCTACAGAACCTCTCTCTGAACTGACTGTTTCTGAAAAGCTTTGAGATTGTGTTCATTAAATACAGCAGCAGCTCTTTTTCAGGTTAATTTTATTGTCCATCCCTATCTCCATTTTCTTTAACGTTTAGCCTTTTGACTTTGATCCCACCTAGAATTGCTTACAGTATTAAGCTTATTGGAGGATTATGCAATACAATTTCATTTTTATAACACCTTTCATGTCGGAAGGAGGTCTCAAAAGAGTTTTATCCAGCAGCTCTTTGATTCATCCTCTGACTGGGCACCCAAGTCGGGGGATTCTGTAATTGCAAGCAATTCTGTCTGCTCAATTTGTCTGCCTTTATATAGCTCCTAGATATGATGAAATTCTACACTGGTTTTGAAATTAATGACCAGACTGGAAATGCTCTGACTGAGAATGAGATGACTACAATCCATTATGATCGCATCACCTCTCTCCAGGTAAGGCAAAATAAGATTTCCCATATTACGAATGCATTGGAGGCATGTTTATGATTTGTTCAGTTATTGTCGAGCACATTTCATTATGAAGTCACATCAACTACTCATTCCACCATGCACTGAGAGAATTATTGGGAGCCTATTTCAAGGTTCAGCTGCAGCTTCTTTACAAATTCAATTTTATTTTAAAGAACAAGCCAGTACATGTACATGTGTCAAAGCTGAAGTCACAATGTGCAATAACTTTCATTTTGAGACATTATTGATTTCAAGCTTTCAAATTTATGCATTGCAAGCAGATGTTTTGTCATCCTTTGACTGCAGCTTTCTTGGAGTCGGAACAAAAATATCTTGCTCAATAAACCTTGACTGAATTTGAATTCATCTTGGGCTTGTGGGTGGGTGGTGGAGCAATTATTTAAATCCATTCTATTAAACATTAACAGTTTCTCATCTTGGACTCTTGAATGGTCCAGAGGGTAAAATAGCCATGTGGTTCAGTCGTGAGTCAAACAGACGAGGACAATCGATTAAATTCTCTGCAGCGCTAAATCGGGTAACTTACAATGAGGCACCTCAGTTGGTCTTCTTGCTGTTAGCTGAGGGAGGGTAAATCAGTCAGGTTTTCTGCTGCTATAAGTTGTTTAATAATTGTGGTGGGATACTCCATGATGGATATAAATCTGATTTACTCACTCAAACGTATTATGTGAGTTTTTCATTATACATGACAACAGTTCAATACAGTAACCCTCTGGCTGACCAACTCTGGGTATCCAGATTGCAAATTGTACAGGTCTGCACGCTCCCACTGGCACACACTTAGTGCACGCCTCCGTCTCACCGTCCTTGCTGGCCTTTGACTTAGTTTGAATACCACGAGCAGAAGTTAGCTTATTCGCTATCTTCCGCTGGTGGGATTCAAACAATTACAATGCTCATACTGACGTTTTGCTGCACTGAAAACAGTCGGCGACAGCCAGTAAATGCCAGTACCATCATTATAATTGCACTTTGCCGGAAATTCTGGCTTGCCATTCTGGATCTCCTCACCATTAGTCTGACTAGCCAGGGTTTTATTGTACCAGAATATCTGTGCATTAATTACAGAAAATGGTAATTCAACCAGTATTTTCAAAACATAGAACCATCATAGTCCTAGGTGAGCTAATTCAGTATAGTGTTCTAATATTTAAGCTTAATGTTTGAAACTTCTGTCTCTAAAATTGATTCTGTACTTGATTAAACTGCAAAGCTGATTGTGTTGTTGCTGATTTGCATTGCAGAGGGCAGCCTTTGCTCATTTTCCAGAACTACATGATTTTGCTTTGTCTAATGTGGCAGCTGTTGATACTCGAGAGTCTCTTGTTAAGCTTTTTGGATCACTCAAGTAAGTGTTTACTTTTTTGTCCTTTTTACTGTTTGTTACTGTTTATATATAAGTTTAGTTTCCCCTTTCAAAAAGGTGTTAACCTGGCTCAAACGATAGTACTTCTGCCTCTGAGTCAAAAGGCTGTGGGTTCAAGCCCCATGTTGGGGCTTTGAAATTCCATAGTCTAGGCTGACAGTGTAGTGCTGGGGATACTGTGCATTTTGGAGGTAGTCCTTCGGATTAGACATTAAACCGAGGTCCCATCTGCCTGTTCAGGTAGATGTTAAAGATCCCACGGGGCACTATTTGACTTGGATATTCAGCTGTAAATAGAAATAAAATACTGTTTGCCATGTTTTCTATTTTGCAGCCCCAATACTCTTCACCAGGTGGCGTCATACCTTTGTCTATTGCCAACTTTGCCTGAAGGAGAGAATTCTTGCTATGAAAAGGAGTTTCTATTGGAGATGCTGGTCAGTGCTGTATTTAGCTCAGAAAGCTACAAATAAAATTGGAATATTATATAAAGTTGATAAAAATAAAATGGTGTTCATTGGATATTCTTTTCATTTGACAGGTATCTCGACATGAACGGCGGACATCCCAAATTCAACAATTAAATGAGATGCCCCTTTACCCCACAGAGAAAATCATTTGGGATGAAAACATTGTACCAACAGAATACTACTCAGGAGAAGGTGCAGTGTTTTTACCTGAAATTCATAGAAATAATATGTGATTCGTAAACAATGATGTGTGTTATAAATATGGACATAACTTAAAAACTGGCATTTGATCTAAATATTATTTTTACTCAATTTACTTTTATGATTTGGTTGTAATTACAGAACTGACACGTGCAATATACCTGGTAGCTCTACAAGGAAATCTGAGTGTCTCCCTGTTTGAGTTTGATGGACCTGCTTGTTTGTTTTAGGTAATTCCTGTTTTAAAACTTTTGTTTTCCTTTTTTTAAAAAAAACAGGCTGTCTTGCGTTACCAAAGCTGAATTTGCAGTTCTTGACACTTCATGACTACCTACTGAGGAATTTTAATCTCTTTCGCCTGGAGTCTACATACGAGATTAGACAGGATGTGGAAGATGCAATCAGTAGACTTAAACCATGGTGGGTTGCAATGCATGTTTTTGTATCATTCTGTTTATAATTACATTTTTTCAGTATGTCAAAATCTCTGCTTTATATGGGTTTACTTGTCAATCCAGATCACAAAGATGCCTAGGGTTAGAGACAAAACTATTTTAAAATTTGTTGTGGACCTCTATCTGTAAATTGCTTGGCACCTTAATATCTATTTTGATTTGATTGTAACAATACTTCATAAGTGATTTAATTTTCCAAGTACACATATTTTGCATGTTTCATTTAACTTTATTTGCCAAGGTCCAAACAAAGTGCTCTTATTTTCTTTTTACCTTCTGAATTTATACACCACCTTTCTTTGGAAGTTTGTTTCCCTTTGTATTGGTGCTCCACTATGGGGCAAGAATATTTGAAACTTGGTAGTCGTCTGCTTTTAATCAATATTAGCAGTCAATATTAACTGATTGATTCACAATAGCTGGGTTCATGCATATAAGGCTATATCAAGCTATTGTTTGCTCTGATTGCTGTTACCTAATTCCTCTAAAAACTTTACAGGCAAGGAGAATATGGAGGAGTTGTGTTTGGTGGATGGGCCCGAATGGCACAGCCTATTGTGACTTTCTCCATTGTCGAAGTCGCAAAACCTAACATTGGTGAAAGCTGGCCAGCAAGAGTTCGTGCAGATGTAACCATCAATCTGAATGTTAGACCTCAGATCAAAACGGAATGGGAAGGTAACTTCTGTCTTAATTAAGTTCAGATTCAGTTATTTTGTCAAAAAGATTCATGTGTGGATCCTGATAATTTTGAACATATTTACCTTTGTGAACATTTGAAAATGAACGCCTTTCAGTCAAAGAAGTAATTTTTTTNAATCAACCATAGGATTTGTGCTTATTCAGGAAAATAATACACCCTTGTTGCATATTTGTTTTAATAATTGATTGTTGGATTTTACCTATTACATTTTCATTCCTGTAGCTCTCCGCAAACATGATGTATGCTTCCTTATAACTGTTCGAACGGTGCTGGCTTATGGTACAAAATTTGACCGGAAGCAACCCTTTGCAACACAGACAGGCCTCCTTTATGTGCGAGGATGTGAAATTCAAGGCATGCTGGATGAGAAAGGACGGGTCATTGAAGAAGGTGCAACTTTGAGTTCTTGATTGCTAAATAACATGATTTAAAAAAAAAGTTAAGCCCTTTATATATTGGAAATTGCATTATATTTACTAATTAAAAGTTTGAGACACAATTTATATTACTTAAAGGTTTTAATTTTGTGCAGGTAATTGAATTCTACTTATTTGTAAGTGTTTACATGCCTATGAAAAAGAGGGGCCTGAAGGGGTATGGGGATAAAATGGGGCCAAATAGGATTGAAGCAATCTCAATCGCCTTGCTACGTGAGCCGGTGCAGATTTGATGGGTTTGAATGGTCTCCTTCTGCATTGTTGATTTCTGTGTTTCTAACCATAGTAAATTGATATTCCACTTGGGCTCCAATTGTTTTAGCTTCATGTTTTATCTGCCTTGGTTTCTGTTTCCCAATCACAGGTCCTGAACCTAAACCAAAGTTGAAAGGTGACACGCGGACTTATAGAATATGGTTGGATCCTAACCAATATCAACAGGATATGACCAACTCCATCCAGAGTGGATCTGAAGATGTGTACGAGACCTTCAATATCATTTTGAGAAGAAAACCCAAGGAAAATAATTTCAAGGTGAGGAGCTATCAACCTTTTAAGTGATAATTCTCCCCTTTTCCTGAAGAAGCCTTTGTCTTAGTGACTTTTGATTTTTTTTTCCCCAGGCAGTGTTGGAGACTATCCGGAATTTAATGAATACAGAGTGTGTGGTCCCTGATTGGCTCCACGATATTATCCTTGGATATGGAGACCCAGGAAGCGCTCATTATTCTAAAATGCCAAATCAAATTGCTACATTGGACTTTAATGATACCTTCCTCACTATTGATCACCTGAAAGCTAGTTTTCCTGGGTATACCATTAAAACCACAGTTGATGCTCCTGCTCTGCAGAAACCTCCCTTCAGGTGAGAATTGCTTAACTGAATCTTGGACAATCTTTACATAGACATTCTATCTAATACACACATCCTAGAAATATTAACATGTTGCCTTTGGGATAAATTGCTGCCTGTTAACTTGTCACTCATCAAGCTTTCTTGGGTTCTTGCATCATTACCTTTCATCTTAAAAGAAAATATGGTGTGAAAAGTTACAATACTCCAGATAAAGTGGTAATTTGCTTACTTTCTTGGCTGTTTGGGGGATTTTATTGTGCACAACATTTTAATATTGCTGCGTTGACTTACAAACGCAGTCGATACACTTGGCAGTAATTATCTGTGGAGCATTTTGACATTATAGCCGCTATATTAAATGAGGGATTATAATTGGGATTGTATAATGACTGAATATTATAAAAGGGGAATGTCTCTGGTGAATCAGATAAAAGATAAATATTCCTTACTTACAAATGCTAATAATGTGTTCATTACAAATAATTGTGATCCACATCTACTTATTTCCCTCAAACTTTAGGATTACATTGCCGATAGCAAGTGGGAAAGGAAAGAAACGAAAAGTGGATGATGATGAAGAGGGGAAGGAGGATTCCAGGATTCTAATTGTTGAACCACACGTGATTCCAAACAGGGGTCCGTACCCATATAATCAACCTAAAAGGTATGAGAAAACAATCGTCTGTCCTGCCATGTTTCGCCCGCAAAATAGAAAGTCAATTCACTTTACAGTATATTCTGTGAAGCACTTTGAGACATCTCGATAAAGCGCTATATCGAATGAAAGGATTATTATGTGAGATTGGAATATGGGTGCAGTGCCATACAAATTAAGAATCTGCAGGAAAAGGGCCTACAGCAACTTTGTTCTAAAATGTGTATCTGAAAAGTATATCCCAAGACCACCACCTTTTTCACATTTCAAAAACTGGGTGCTGATCTGTGGGTTTTCACAGATTGGCTACCAGCACCAATATTACTCAAGGAAACAATTTCTTTAGATTATAGCCTGGGAGTATTTTTAAAAAAGAGTGTCTGAGATTTAGACTGTCATTTACCCTGGCAAATTAAGGGTTAACAATTCTTCAAGTGTTTTTTAAAGAACTAATTGCAACTGGCAGTAGAAATGTATATTGGAACAATTCCATGGTATAGAGGGCACGTCAAAAGTAATATAAGGGTAAGCCATGGAGCCCAGTGAATATAGTGGCGATCGTCTCTGGCATGATCAAGCTCCTATTTAAGGTCAGCCATTCCTTTAGACAAATGGAATTTACCTTATCAGCAGTCAACTGCATAAGGGAAAGCCTAAGCTATTGGAGGATGCAGAGAAACATTTCAGTCAGTTGGGTTTAAAAATAGGCTTTCTTAGCAACCACGATAGCATGGGTAAGGGATGATGAGCAACAGGATAGCTGGAGACTAGTTGTGGGAGGCTGATATTTTAAGAGTGAAAGTTATGATGAGAAATGGGAATGCCTTAAATGTAGATGATGAGGCAACTGAAGGCGATATGAGCCACTGAAATGTAGCCAGTGGCGATCGTTTAGCAGAATATAACGATTTTATGAAACTTTCAAATGTACTGTTGTATGAGAAATGTTGAAACATGATTTTTTTGGATTGCAGAAACACAATTCAGTTCACACCCACTCAGATAGAAGCAATTCGGGCTGGTATGCAACCAGGCCTAACAATGGTAAGAAGCCTTGAATATCTTTGGCATTTGACTTTTGTCTTGATCTTTCTTATTTTAGCAGGTGCTTAATGGCTTTTTTTTCTCTCTCCAATGATTCTTACCCTTCTTTCTTGTGTATTCAGGTGGTAGGACCACCAGGTACAGGAAAAACTGATGTGGCCGTGCAGATCATTTCGAACTTGTATCACAACTTCCCAGAGCAGAGAACCCTCATCGTAACACATTCCAACCAGGTACATGCCCGATAAATAAGCACAATTAATATGCAGCATTTAGGCTTCATATTTACAAGTATTTGGTCTTTCTTGGATATTTCAGTGTTTTGGTTGTGATTATTAAAAGCCTCAGCGAAAGGTGCAACCTATGACATGTAATTTTCATAGTATAACTGGTATACCATTTATGATTATCTACTCAGAGTCCACTCACATGCATCGACTGCTATGCCTGTTAATACTGGTTTCTCAGCAAATGGTTTTGTAAGTTTGATCACAGGTTATGCAGCATTAAAATAATGTTGAATTGTGCATGCATTGCTTTTTGCTTGTTGGTCTACAGAATGCTTCTACTATTCATTATGGCAGTTTGTGCTGAGCTATACTTCAACAGCTGCAAGTGCAATGAATTTGCCTTTAATTTTAACACAAGATTTCTTGATTATGGTTTGCTTCCCCAGCTCTGATGCCTACATGATTTTAAACGAAAGCTTTAAACATTCTGTTGTTGCTTACAAGCCTGTCTTGACCAATCAGTTTAGAAACTATTCAAAGTATTGACGGAACACAATAACATTAGCAATTCAGCACCAAAATCATTCAAGAAACACATTTGATCTTTTTGTTTTTGTTTCCATCATGTAATGAATTGACTATTGCTTAGTACTTCTCACTTTTATATATATGTATGACTGTAAATACTGGAAATTTAGTCATTTTTGTAGATATTTGGCAACTTTGAAAAATTAAATATTCTGCAATATTTTTAAGGAGATGATCATTGTCTGGAGATTCATCTCCAGCAAGGTACTGTGCTACTATCATAGCTATGTTTTACTGGATGAGTGAACAAGAAAAAACGCTGAAGGAGGAGGTTTGCATGCCTTCATATCAGTAAACCCATTCAGAACAACACCTGCTGTGATTTGTCATTTGCTTCTCCAGAAATGAGACAAACCTTCCTTTCAAAGCCAATCCCTGTTGCACTGTGAGGTCAACAGCTGGTTGTACAAGTGGTCAATTACAGAATGTGTACAAAATGGTTCCTGATTGTTCAGCTAAGTTTTAGATTAAATTGTACTCTTATTTAAAGAGTGTTAAAATCCTTATTATTGTGTTCTGAAATAGCTTGACCATGATGGGGAAATCAAGGCAAAAGTTATGTTGGATCAGTTTAATGAGCTACAAACTGAATTTCTAAACTCATTTAGAATTGGATTTCTGTACGATATAGCACTCCAATTTTCTTAAGCTCATCACTATTTGACTGCTGCTATTTGGCAAGCACATCCACTGCTGGCATAAAGGGAGAATGTGAAAGCTTTGATAACTGTTTGGCAAGTCCTTAGCCAAAGAAACACAGCAGTATAGTAAGGGATCTGCCATGCCCAATAGTTGAAACAGAGCAACTAAAAAAAGAATAGCTGACTGTCAAGGACACAGTGTAATAGAAAGACTTCAATCAGATTTTTGTCAGAAAGAATTCCCTGAATGCCAACTCTTTTTCGCCTTTTAAAAAACATTGTTGCTTTACTGCTGTTCTTTCTACTGAAATGTGAGGGACTCTGTAATCTGAACAGGGTATATATTTAAAACATTCCAGTTACCTCAACTTAGTAACTAATAATAATAGTAAATTGATCCAATTCCATAGGACTAACATAGCATGAAATGCAATGCAGGTCAAAAATGTGACTTAAGTTTGTATTTCAATGATGTTTCTTAAAATTTGCTTAGCAGGATTTAGTCAGACGTGTACTCTTGATAGCTTTTTTGAATAGTGAGCAAAAAATATCTTTGTTTTAGTTCTCTAAAATTCAAACTATTTCAGTAGGACAAACAGACAGTATCCTGCAGAAAACCTGGGAGCACTATTTGGCTGCTTGTCTCCAGAATCTCCATAAGATTAAGACTAAGGTTCACTGGCCACCGCAGCTGAAATTGGCCAAAACTAGTACAAATCTGAACCATGGTCACAAGGTGAAACATGAAGGAAATATGAAGTATCCAGGACAGCTCACTTGGTCCAAAAGCAAAGGAAAACTGATTGTTCAATAACATTGTGGATTCAATAAAAGAAACAGAAGCACTTTAAAAGGAAATATTTTCAATACGATATAAGTAGCAGTATAAGTTTCCATATACGTAGCAAAAAAAAGGAGCAGAAAACAAACAGGAAAAAGGTTTGTTCCTAAGTTATGACAAACCATTCAGACAGAACATTTTTAAAACAGATTGGTGTACACTTGTGTAAAATATCCACTATTGTAGCACAATTGCTGCACCAGTTCAAGAATTCAGTTTGGATCGAATTGCTAACAGAGGTCCCCTTTTCCCTCACTATAATTTATTTTAAGTCTATCCAAAAGTTGCTCTTATTTGACTGCCACCTTATTCTGTTACCACCAATGTCAATCTCCAGGCTTTGAACCAGCTGTTTGAGAAGATCATGGCTCTGGACATTGATGAACGTCACCTACTCCGTCTGGGTCACGGAGAGGAGGAGCTTGAGACTGAGAAGGATTTTAGCAGGTGAGGAAATGGAATAAATTACAGAATAGAAAATAATTGGAGTTTATGCAACGCTGCGATAAATATTCATGCGTCCAGGAATATTACATTTTGAAATTGCCTATTTGGGAAAAGACTATATAGCAGTGATTCCCCCAAGTTGGTGCTTTCCTGAAATCCTTATTTTGTACATTGGACCCCCTAAGTAAGCACATTGCCAATAGTTCAAGAAATGGTTTCTCTTTATTCTTCAATAAATCTCCTGTTGTATAGTCTGCTATATGACTGATAGATGGGGTGGGGATGTTATTCTGAAATCGCTCATTCGATATTTGGCTACTTTACTGTGTTGATCCATGTGGGCTTTGATTAACTTTAAAATTTTACCCTATTTATGAAAAACATGGATTTCTTGTATTTTCCCACTGCTTTTGAAGTTTGAAGTCAGGACAGTTGGAATTCAGTAAGTGCTTATCACTTGACCATTACTAAAATGTGAAAATAACAGAAAGCAGCTAGCTAATCTGTTAAAACAAAAAGGAACCTTTCACATCAGGCATTTATTTACTTTGCTAATGTAACAATAGTACTCTTAAGTGTTTATGTTATCTATTTCCATGGTATCAGAGTTGAAACATTTTGCTTATGTTCCTTTTTGTAAATGTATCAACTGACCAGCAGGCCTTAAGCCATCACAAGTCAAAGTTCTGCAGGTTGATTTGAAATAGTCAGCAACAACAAAAGGTCCTGTTACATAATAGCTTGAGTTGCTGGGGTACTTGGCTCATTCCACTCCCTCCCTGTTTTAGACTTACCGGGGAAGATTGTTGACTTCAAAGTTCCCAATATTATTTACGTGCACTTATTTCATTTAGTCAGGTTATTTGACTATTCCGATTATTGAATCTGAAAGGAATTTCTTGTGCATAGTCTAAGGGAAATGTCATTTTTACTTTTACTTAACATAAAAATCATGTTTCATTATTTCTCTGGTTTAATCTAAAAAGCAATTTAGTAACCTCACCTGTATCACAATGCACAATATTGAATATGATTGATAGCTCAGCCTTTCTCTGGAGCAATTTTACCCACAGGCATTCCGATTGCTGAATGTTTTCCAAGAAGGATGTTTGTTTGTTTCATGAAATGACCAGATTTTACAATTCTGCTTGTAATTTTGTAGATATGGCCGTGTAAACTATGTACTGGCTAGGAGACTGGAGTTATTGCGTGAAGTGGGGCGATTACAGGAAAGTCTGGAAGTTCATGGAGATGTCTCATACACGTGTGAAACAGCTGGACATTTTTACTTGTATCAAGTAAGACACTTGTATTGTAGCAAATATTTCCTTAACAGTTTTGGTAGCTTGCAAGTGATCTGCCCTAGTTCTGCACTAAACATAGGCCTGTTCTGAATTCCTTCAGTTCTTTGCATCCTTTTAGTAGTAACACTATTTCTTCACATTGAGGAAATAAAAAATTTGCCATTCTTATGGGTTTTCTTTTATTGAATATCTTCAGATGTAATTAAGTAGGTTATTCGTTTTTTTAAATTGTTATCAGTTTTTCTAGGGAACATAAAATGTTCTATTCGAACTTTTTTTTCCGATGTGGAGTTTGTTAAAAATGTGCCTTGATCGGTCTCCTCAGTCAAAGTAGGGTTCCAGTTGGAATCAAAAAGCATCAAAAAGCAAATCTAGACGGAAAGAGTGGTAACATGTTCTGTAAGTACAGTGTGGGAGTATGGCTCAAGAAGCACACGAGGAAGTATTCCTCTAGATCGGATGGTATCACACCTGCTCTCTGAAACAGAAATAAGGTGAACTTTCTTGTACGGATCTTTCCTCTAAAGATGACAGTTTAGACACTTTAACCTTTTAAAGATTAGGAGTTGATCACTGATTGACACGCTTGCGGTGAAGACAGCCTTTGATAGTCTCCCATTAGCAGGGTGAAATGTTTCTGAATGCATTCCTTCCTCCCATTTCCTGTAATTCCAAAGATTATTCACATGATCCATTGCTGAAAAACAATTTTTGACCTACTATAGCTGAGCCACAGCTGCCGTTTACATTGCCAATACTAGTCTGATCTCAGTGGTAGCTAGATATGGCAGAACGTGTCCTGAGTGGCTCTTCAGCTTGACTGTGTTTTGCTGAGTGGTTGTCTTCTTTTGTTAGCCTCCACTTTGTAAATTCCCAATATTGTACTAAACAAGTCAATTTGTCTTCCTGTAATCATTTAAGGCATGACATTTCAGCTTTTCGTTTGTTTGCAATTCTTGATCTCGAAAGATCAATTGACCAGTTTATAAGAGGTTCTTTTGAAAATCACTGAAATGTATTATTCATTCTAAGAGGAAACTCTGAGTTAACATGTTGTGGTTTATGACTAAAACGGAATTATGACGATAGTGGTGGTGGTTGGGGCAGGGGAATAAAAACATGTAGCAGAGCTCCCTGTAATTGACTACATTGTAGGTTGGACAGATAGATCCCTGCCATAGGGAACAGCAGTGATTACTTGTATTTTAAGGATGCATTTAATTGTTTTGCTTCCTCTAGTGTGCTGTCATACTGCGCCTCAACTTGAGTTGTTAGGCTGTGATTTATTTCTTTAATTAGTATTGCTATTGTCAGCCATATATTCTCTGGAGGATATATTTACTTTAAAAGCTCATCCATGTGTTACTGACATGAAAGTAAATCTAAAGTAAAAAATTAAACTTTGCTTGTTGGATATTATGATTACATATATTTTATTTAAATTTTTTTAATAGCACTACAACCCTACTTGTGATATATATGTTAATGTAACTCTTGTAACCCCCATTTCCCCAGCTAAGAAGATAGAACTAATAACTTCTTGCAAGTTCTTGTCAATGCCATTTTATGGCTGTCTGTCAGGTACAGGACTATGGTACAGAATCAGTGCGCATGCTCATTTATGTTTTATTTGTTCCCTCTCTTTGGTTGAGTGTCATGATTTCACTTCTGTTTTGTAAACTTGGATATATGAAATTTGAGGCGCAAAATCATGTGTTGTTTTTCCTCAGTCTAGCCTACCAGCAGCACTGCCATATCACGATCATGCTTACTTATTTAGAATTGAACCCATATCTTGCATTTTTACTTTGTTTAAGGGAGTAATTACCTTATAAGCAGTGTGTATTACCTTATAAGCAGTGGTTGTAACATGTATCATTGTGTTCCAGTTAAACAGAAGGACATTTGTTCTGTTTGTTTTGTACAGGTGATGTCTCGTTGGGAAGAATATCTCAGTAAAGTAAAAGCTAAAAGTGGAACGTCTGGTGATGTTACAGCCGTGTCTAAGCTCTTTCCATTCCACAAATACTTTGCAAATGCACCCCAGCCTATTTTTAAAAGCCAATCCTACGAAGAAGATATGGAGATTGCTGAAGGCTGTTTCAGACACATCAATAAAATATTTACTCAGTTGGAGGTAACGTGCACTAATTGTGTAGTGATCTAAAAGTCTTGTTTCATAATGTTTTCAAGCAAATGCCTTTCTGCAATTATGTTTATTATTGAAGAGGTATGGGTGCAATAAGTCTATTTGCTATTTCAGGGATCTGTTGCATTTTCCCCAAACTGCAGAAGATTCTCAAAACTGCTGCTGATTATGGTTAATAATTTTTATGCACTTCATAAGTTGTAGGGATATTTTCGTAAACCTCCCAGAATTGTTAATTAAAATCCCTTTCATTTTCTTTTTCAAAATTACATTTGCTTATTATTTTAAACCCGTCATGAACCTGTAAGGTTGGCATGGAATTAATTTTGCTGATATCAATTCTGGACAAATGGAATGTGCTTCTTTGCAGCAGATTTTACCTACTTTATAATGGTGGGGAGGGATAGTTGAGCAAGAGAGGAAGTATTTACAATATGGTGCGTTATCCCAATCTATGTTCTGCTTGTGTTCTGTGTCCTGGTTTCAACTCTCCTGTAGTAAGGAAGCTCCCAAGCAAAATCTAGGCAGCTTACCAGGGAGCAGAGGCAAAATAGGTGGGAAATATTATTTATTCAGAATAGTAATTGCGTAACTTTCTGCCACTTTCCTTTACCTTATAGGACTCATAGGAAATAAGATGTGAAGAAATAAGTATTCAGAGAATCATTTGCAATCAAAAGAATAGGGACAATATTGCTCAAAGCAAATATTAGCTTTTTTTTAAACACATTTTCATAAAAGAATCTCCAGGAATTTCAGACTCCTGTGAAATACAATTGATTCCAGTTTATTTTATTCTGAATAAATGTTCCTTTAAATAGCTGGCAGATGGTGTTTTCTGCTGTGAGCCAATGACCTTTGTTTAACTAGTAGCAGTGCTGTCTGTTGCTCCAAGGAACTTAATTATGAATCAGTGTGTGCATGAGCCCCCATGGAATATTGTCCTGTCAGGCAAGTAAATAGTTATAATAGTGAAGACGCCAAGACTTGCAGTATGCTTACGTTCTACAGTTACAAAGGATAGTGTGAGAACAAAGCTGAAACCTACAAATTCAAGATGGTCCCAAGAAAGACCCTCAAGAGATCCAGTAAACCTTCCACATCAGTTTTTTGGGGGCATAGTTGTTCATGGAGACTTATGGAAACATATTGAACAAATGAAATCTTTTTATTTATCATATTTTCAAATAAACTGTAATCTGTGATCCTCTTAATATAGCGTCACTGTTCTTCTGTTCAGTCAAAGGTCATGAATCTCATTTGTCATTTCTCAAGGAATTTCGAGCTTTTGAGCTGCTCCGGAGTGGTCTGGATAGGTCAAAGTATCTATTGGTGAAAGAAGCAAAGATCATTGCCATGACTTGTACTCATGCTGCCTTAAAACGACACGACTTAGTGGAGCTGGGCTTCAAGGTAAATGAGGTTCATTTCCTTAATACAGTAATCCTTAGGAAGAGGCTCAAGGATTTGAGAACAATTTATCTTCTGATGCATTTGAACTTGGCAAGTTTCCCATTCAATTTTTACTCTTTACTCAAAATAATGTGCATTTGGAGAACCTGAGTAAAAGCTCCTCGTGGATGGTAACTGGGCCATACAGACCAGAAATCTGCAGGTTTGTTTCTGGTTTGTGCTGCATTAGCTGTGCCAGAAGTTGATGCACTATAATTGGTCTGATTATGAGGTGCTAGAAAACTGTTCCTGCTGGTAGAAGAACGGAACAAATCTCACAGGTGGATATTTTTTGGAAGTTGAAGCTAAAACATATTGTTGAAGTGTTGCAGAGGAATCTTTGGAGTCCTCTGAGACTTGCTCGTACTTTAATCTTTAGGTTTGAGATATATAAACTCACATTGTTTTCACTCTTAACAGTATGATAATATCCTGATGGAGGAAGCAGCACAGATTCTTGAGATTGAGACCTTCATCCCACTCTTGCTCCAGGTACCTCTTTCTACTACATTGCCTTTCTCACTGCTTTGCTGGCCTGATTGCTAGCAGTATAATCAGTATAGCAGTATAAGCAGTATTAAAATGTATTTATTTGAAAGGGGAGGCATTGGCTGGTTGATATCTTGTTTTGGAGCAATAAGTAGGCTTTGTTTTTAAAATTAAATGAACTTTGGAGGAAAAATTGCTAAATCAAGCTTTTGTGGCATCAAAATAATCTTTGCATTTGGCATAGTAATGAAACAGTCTCCTGGCGACTTTAGAATGACAATGAGCAGCACTTTCTTTACGGTACGTTGATATGTATATTATCTGTTCTAAGAACCCTGAAGATGGCTTCAGTAGATTGAAACGTTGGATTATGATAGGGGATCACCACCAGCTCCCCCCCGTCATAAAGAATATGGCCTTCCAAAAGTACTCCAACATGGAACAGTCTCTGTTTACCCGATTTGTTCGTTTGGGTGTTCCAACTGTGGATCTTGATGCCCAGGGCAGAGCAAGAGCAAGGTACGGGGAAGGAAACGACATTTGTCATAAAATCACAGTTCGATGTATATTGAAATATTAAATCAATTTTAAATGTTTCTTCAGGGCATGAGTTGTATTCTAAATGCAGCTGTTGTTTAATTTTTATTTTTGCTTTACTTTTATTTAAGCTTGTGCAACCTCTATAACTGGCGTTATAAAAAGCTGGGTAACCTTCCCCATGTCCAGCTCCTACCTGAGTTTCGTACTGTCAACGCGGGACTTGTGTACAACTTCCAGCTTATCAACGTGGAGGATTTCAATGGAGTTGGTGAATCTGAACCTAATCCGTATTTCTACCAGGTAAATAGCTTTCTAATTTTCAGTTTGAAGATACTTTGCTTCTTGGTGATATAAAAGATCACTCATTCTTTTAGATGTGGACTTCAGAATTTGAAGATTGTGTAGAGTATTAAACTATTACATTTTATTTTCACTTCCTTTTTAATTGTTTTTGTGTCTACATGTTTTCTCTTTGGATCCCATTGCTGACCCTATTGACAGAATCTTGCTGAGGCTGAATATGCTGTGGCCCTTTTTATGTACATGCGTGTATTGGGGTATCCTGCAGAAAAGATCAGCATCTTGACAACGTACAATGGACAGAAGCATTTGATCCGGGATGTCATCAATCAGCGGTGTGGTGGTAATCCTCTAATGGGACAACCAAGCAAGGTAAGGATTCTTTCAACTTGCCAGTTGTGAAGATTGACCTGATTCAAATCTGGACAATATTGATTCAAGTCTGGACGTTAATATTTACATTTGTGTTCAAAACTGAAAAACAGCATGTCTGGTAGAGGTCAAACATACAAGTTTGGAGTAAGTGTGAGGGTGGCAGAGAGCGTAGGTTCAGTTTTGCTCAATAGTCCCTCGTTACATTGTTTTATATTCTCCAGCTTCAGGAGTATTTTGGTATCTGCTCCTATATTTATTCTTCTAACTAGTGGCTGGGAGAGAAAAAGATGATATTTCTTCTATCTCAGGCCTTGCTTGAATTACCATATTCATTTTTTCATTCCATGAATCTGTATTATTGAGTTCATGTGCTACTTAATATTGAAAGATTTCTTTGAAAATTGATTTGATTGGAGTCTGCATATTAACTGTCTGGCAATACTGTGGACTGTTTTAACCTGTAGAAGTGTACATTCTGTTATCTGCACTGGAACTTGATACACTATCAGCTAAGCCCTCTGCAGCATGTTAAATTTGACAGCTTGGTAATTCTCAAACACTGCAGCTTAGCGGTACAGAATGAAACACAATGTTCTTCCCACTACATAAATAGGTTGGTTCAAATCTATTGTTTCCAGTTTCCAGCATGAAGCTGTATCTTCAGGAGAGGAGAGAGAATAGTCGGAGGAAGGGGAGGGGGTTTGTGGCAAATTTGAATGATTATTCCTTCTTCAGCTTTTTAAAATTGGAATGTGTGTAACTGTTGACTGTTATAACTGATCTACAGCCAGATAGTTAATTCTGAATAAAGTAAAAGTAGTGTGTGGCTAATGCAGAGAGGTTTCAGAACCTGTGGGCACGTTTCCCTCCTCATGGTCATACATCAGTGGTAAATAGTGTTTTTTTNCTCTAGGTGACCACTGTGGACAGATTCCAAGGACAGCAAAATGACTATATCATCTTGTCTTTGGTGCGAACCAAGGCTGTTGGACATCTCAGGTATGATGTGCACTTTTTACAGCTGTGTCACAAGAAGGTCCTGATCTTGTATTAAGAAAATATAATATATAAAGAAATATAGAGGCAATCTCATAACAATGCTTTTTCAAGGACATCCTTGAACAATTATAGGAATTTCACCCTCTGGTATAGTTGGGGGATTTGAATGTGTTAAAAGTGATGAATCATGACACATACTGTATGTATAGGTACAATATCTATAGTTGGATTACTTCTCAACATATCACTAAAAGCATATTGAAGAACACTGGGTTCTTTTCATCTGAAACCCGAGAACTAAAGCCTAATTCATAACAGTCATAACAGTTTACTTAACTTCAGCACCCATTAATTGAGAGTTGAAGATCTAAAAGGATTGGTGTGAATCAGCAAAACATTTGTGATGTCAATTAATGGACATTGCTTGGTGACTATTATTTGCTGTCAATCTGTAATTTTTGACATATTGCTGACCAAAATGGTGACAACAATGAGAGCAACACCTCCTCTTTACTTGCAGTGAAGGACTTAATAATTACTATTTGGATATTTTTCTATTCTCTCAAGTCACTTGAAACCACGTTTTCCGTGTAAGTTAAATAATGACCCTTGACATGTTAACCGGAATCCTAACAGCTTTTTTATTTTATCCAGAGATGTTCGGCGATTAGTTGTTGCAATGTCCAGAGCTAGACTTGGATTGTACATCTTTGCAAGGGTGTCGCTCTTCCAGAACTGCTTTGAACTTACGCCAGCCTTCAATCAACTAACTGCTCGACCACTTCAGCTACACATTGTGCCCTCAGAATACTTTCCGATCAACCGAAAGGTAATAATAATAACAATCCTTGCATTTGATATAGCAACTTATTGGGTTTTTGAGACGTCTCAAAGCGATTCACACAATAAACTGTTAAGTGAATTGACTGTACCTTTGTTTTAAAAGCTGTTACCTCTGTGGTTTGTATTTTTATCTTGCGGTCTACTAACCTTTGCGAATATTTGTTTATTCCCAGAATGATGATATGCTGCCACCCCATTTGGTGAAAGTTATCAAGAATATGCCAGAAATGGCAAACTTTGTTTATAATATGTACATGCACATGATTCAGAGCATGAGGCAATACAGACAGGTAAAGAGCAGTTTTGTTTATTCAGCCACCTTGGCATTTATTCAGAAAATTATTTATTGGGTAAGCTCTGAAATTCTGTCTGTTGTGCGGCAGTAAGTGGTTTATAAAAATTTAAACCAAAGGCTTGTGGATTTGCTTTTTGTTGAAGAATGCCAGTCATTTAATTGGTGATTAACAGTGACTTGTTTCATTTTGGCAGGAAAAAAAATCAGTAGATAAAGAATTGCTGGTTTCTTTATCAACCATTACATCTTTTTTTTTGCTGTAACTGATTGATTTTTTTATATAGTCCTGCTAGAGAGTGCTTGTCCGAGTCGAAAACCAAATGCTGTGTTAAAAGCGATTGCGAAACACAGGCCAACTTCCAGGCAAACAAATCACTGCTGGCGTGACCTCTAGCATTATGGTTAGGAAGTCATCGATTTACAATGTCAGTGTTTCTCAAATGACAGCAGCAACCTGACAACCTCAAAGTCGGACATTTTTTCACACAGGAGGCTGGTCAGTCAATGCCAGAAGCTAGAAATACTTCGAACTAATGGGAACTTTGGGTCCGAGAGGCATCTGCGTTGAAAGCGGATCCACTTTCTAGTGAGGCGCTGTTTAACTGGGTTAAGCTATATTTCCAAAGCTATTGTGCCAATGTGGTGAGTCTGCCTGAAGTTCTTGTCGCTCCAAATATTAATACATGTATTTTTCTTTATAGCAATTGCTTCCACCTCCAAAGGCCATGCCTCGACCAGAGCCGGTACCTGCTACGAACATTGAGACTGTGGAGGAAGAAATGAAAGCCCCAGTTACTCAGGTTAAGAATGATGAAGTTATCAGTAAGGAACGCAATGAAATGCCAGCACATCCCGGCAGGGACAGTGATAGTGAGGAAAGTGAAGCTGAAGGGAACATGGAAAGCTAATCTGTTACTCAATATTCAAATAGATTGTATGAGGAAGTAAAGGTAGATCTTTGAAATGCAATGTAACCTAAGACAGTGAAGCTGACAAGAACATGGAAAGGTTATCTATGTGCAGATGTTCATCCATTAGATATTGTGGTTGGCCATGAAATTATTTCATATGTAATTATGTGAAGTGGAATGGTTTATTTTGTTTCTGAAAGCTTTTTCAATAAATTTTTNATAAAATGTTTCATCCAAAACAGCATATCAGTATTTTCTTTGACCAAAAGGAGTATGTTTTTTGCTACGTTTTTTTTTGAACAAGGCAGTGAATTAAACTAAAGGAAAGATTACTATCAGCATCTCAAGCTGCTTGTGTGTGTGTGTGTACATGTATGTGTATATTTATTTTACATGAATATGGACATAGATGCCAGACAAGCGCTTTGGGACGTCCTCCCGATGTGAAAAGCGCTATATCAAATGCAAGGATTATTATTATTATTATGAAGACTGTCTGAATTTCTTGGGCAAACTACAAGAGGACAGGAGAAAGTTTACAATTTTTTTATATATAATACTAATCCTTGCATTTGATATAGTGCTTTTTATGTCTTCTAGACATCTCAAACCACTTCACAGAATATACTATAAAAGTGAATTGACTATATTTGTGGGGCGAAACTCGGCAGCCAATTGCGCACAACAGTGTCCTACAAACTGTCGTGGATTGAAGTGACCAATTTTATTATTTTATTTGTCTTGAATTATTATCAGGCGCGTGGAGTAAGGAAACTTGCCCAAGGTTTTGCCCTGCTGGGAAACGAACCCAGGTCTCTCGCTTGCGAGGCGAGTGCTCTAACCACTGAGCTACAGGACTCCTAATTGCTCATAACATTTTTAAATAATAATAATAATCCTTGCATTTGATATAGCGCCTTATGACATCTTTGAGACAACTCAAAAGTGTTTCACAGAATATACTGTAAAATGTAGCGATTGTGTATTTTGTGGGCAAAACACACCAGCCAATTGCACACAGAAGTGTCCCACAAACAGCGGGTCTTTGTGACACCGAGAATGTGATGATGTTTTATTTTTGGGGGGTGGGGGGAGAAGGGGGTTTAAAGAGAAGTTTAGAATTGGAATCAGAATGGTCACAGCATAGAAAGAAGTCATTCAGTCCATCATGTCGGTGGTGCACACTACCCATTCCCATTTCCCTACATGTTCCCCTCCTCTTTCCCTTTAATTACTTGTTTTTCTTCAAGTATTAATCCAGTTCCCTTCAATTACGCTATAATATGCCCTTCACGTCAGAAAGACATCCCAGACCGCTGGACAATCAGGGGTTTTTGGACCCTCCTATGTGCTGCGATGGACTCCTCTTCAACAACCATTTGTGGTAAGGCATTTTAGATTATGTATTTTAAAAGGGAACCAAACTCCCATTTTTTTTTCCCTTTGGGTGATAATCCTCAAAGCAGTAATCCTCGATGTATTGATCCCCTTTGTTACCACTGACTCACCAATTTTAAACATTTTTATAAATTTTCAAATAATCCCATTTGGTCCTTGCTTACAAATCCTGATTGTAAGGCTCATTCATAGATAAATATATTCTGAAACATAGTGGTTTATAAAGTAGAATAAAACAAACAGGGTTACCATGGTGATGGGTTATATTGATTATGAGTCAAGTAACCTAATTCTGATTATTTGCCGGGGTTACCATTGTGACAGGTTTATATTGATTATGAGCCAAGTAAATTATGAGACAGACAACTAATCTTTTTCTACATATTTATCAGCAAAAAGAGGCTCAAATCAGGATGCATAATCCTGCCCCGAATAGACAGAAAACCAGCTAGGTATCTGTCTGATAAAAGCTGGTTCCAAGGTTGGTCTATTGTCTAAATTCTTCATTGTTTGAGTGAAGAATGTAGTTATAGATATTTAAAGAGGGAAAGAAGATGGTAGAGTTAAGGTTCAGCGCACTCTCTTGTCCATAGAACCAAAGATTGCCCGCATCACCTCTTTGTTTTGCATCTTTCATGCACTGCTCTACACGAGGGCTTCCCTGGAGCACATAATGTGGTGCCAACTGAACAATGCACATCTATGCAATTTTCACTGGCAATCACTGGCACTGGTTAATCTTTGGCAAGATTCTTAATTGGATTCTAATAAGTAACAGTCCTTAAAAATTATTGAATTATTTTTATTGGGGTCTGAGGTCCTGATGGCTTTACTATAACTATTACAGATATTGCATTTTTTTTAACTGAGAAAAGAAGAATATAACTTAATATGTATCGGTTTACAGCCACCAAAGTTTTTACCCTATAATTGAAGATGATACAGGGATGGGCCAAGGACAGCCAAAACCTCATTTCATAAATTGAAAACTTGCAAGCAGATTACTTGATGATAAACAGAAGATAAAATGATATAATGAGAAGTTCTTGGTCTGTCCCATGAGCTTGATGTCAAGACTGACTTTTATAACTATTTTCAGTAGTGAATTTACATGCTTAGAAAAGAGAAAATCATGTTCATGGTTATCAATGTGTTTTAAGTTTATCATAGTTTTATTTTATTACTGTGTTCTGTTTACATGATTTCCCTTTTCCTTACCATGCCAACCTTAGGAGTAGATCTAGATCCAGATCGAGACCCAACTTGTCAACGTTTCCATCCTTCAGATCAATATGGCCAAAGTTACTGATATCTTGTGGGCTATATTCTGGTTTGTAGTGCTATTTTTTGCTGCCTGGCCACTCAGTATATTGCTTGGGGCCTTCTACGGTTTTTTATCTCCTCTGACTACCTGTGTGGGACTGAATAATGTCACTGATGTGCTTCTGAAAGGCGCAAACCTTGGCAGAACCTGTGCTGAGAACATGAGATCGTGTAAAGCGCTCTGCTCAGGAAATTTGAGTCATTGAGAGACAGCTACAAGCAAAACTCCACTGTACTGTGAACAAGCTCCACTTCACAGGTGAACTTAAAATATTTTCGTTGCCTCCATGCTGGACGTCCAATACCTGCTTACTAATTTTCACAGGTTCCAAGCTGATGCTCACGATTTGATTCTGCAGCCTACTGAACACTTTATTATTTAATATTATCAAAATCTATATTTAAAGAAATGGAAAATAAACTTCTACAATATTTGTGATATTACCAGATAATAAATAATTCCAGCCTGTGCTATATAAATGCAAGTTGTTGTTGTTGAATCATCTGTGCGTGAACATATCTAGCCAGGAGAAGGGCACCACACCTACTTAGCAAAGGCTGATTAAAAATCCTGCACTTTATACACCTATTTGTTCCACAGATGATGGTCTTTGATCCCCAATATGTCCTGGAAGTATTGTGCTGGGATGAGTGTTCTATCTTGTATATATTGGTCATACCTTAGGACTCAATTTAGTAGGCAATAATGTGTGAAGTCTGTAATTTTTTAAAATTAAGCATAGTAGACAGGTTGAGAAAGCTAATCAGATCCAATATGTTTAATCATGCGGAAACGGTTTGCTTATTGTATAAAGTGGCAATTTGTCTTTGGTCACTCAGCCTTACCTTATTCAAACAGTATATGGACATGTCTAATGGGCATATCAGAGCAAATAGAATCTCCAAACAAAGCTCCATTTATATGTGTGTGCAAGTGTTTGCATTTTTTTCAGATTTCTGCAGTACTTTCCGAATTCCAAACCAATCAGGTTGAACCAAGCTTTTTCTCCAGCTGCATACTACTGTGACTAAGCACTTTGGAATATTTCAATGAACCTTAAGCAAGTCACGCATAACATTGTGTAAGTTAAGAAATATCCTTTGAAAAAGAACCATTTAATAGCGAATTATACTGGGGAGGACACGTTTGCAGGGCTATGGGGAGAGCACGGGGGAGTGGGATTGAATTGGATAGCTCTTTTCAAAGAGCCGGCATAGACACGAATGGGCCGAATGGCCTCCTTCTGTGGTAAAGTTCTATGATTCTATGATATTTGAAACTGGAATATTAGTTCCCAGAGCTCTGAAAACTTCTACAAGGTAACTTACCCCCAAGTGCCAGTTAGCGACAACTTGGAGCAGCTTAGGTGAGTGAAAAGTGGTGTTGATATCCAGGGTGACTAAGACAAGGCAACCTGGAGGAAGAGAACACTGTAGAGCCGAAGTGAATAACTCTTTTTTTAAAATTGGCCCAAAGTGCATGTCTCCAACCAAATTTAAATGTAATAAATGATTTTCTTGTCTTGTTTCAGCAGAAGGAAACTTGATTCACAGCCCCTCTCATACTGCTTCAGACTGCTTATAGTCCAATATTATGGGAGTCGACATATATTATGAAGGAAAGCTCTTTGCAGTTTTTAAGTAATGACTTGAGTCTCTGCTGTGTTTTACAATTAAGGACTTAAATTACAAGAAAGGTGCTACGTACTTGTGGAGCTTTGATATTTCAGTTACCAATGTATTCAGCAGAAAGTATGAAAAGCAACTAAATAGCATTTCTGTTTTCACAGTTTGGTGTTGCGATTATATTTTCTATTTCTCTGCCAGAATGGTATATTGTGAGTGAGGCTAACCAGTTAGGATAATATTTGCAATTTCCTCTTTACACATGCTCATCTTTTACTAGTTCTTGTCGACTTATTGGTTGAAGTTACTTTACTTTCCCTTATGTCATTTGTCATTGTGACATGTATTTATAGGTAATTATATTTTTCCCCTGAATATTTCCCACTGAAGAGCAAATATAAAGCTAACTCACTTGCCTTTTGGTGTATATTGGCGGGGAAAATATCAGTTACCTCTTTAAGCACCATTCAAGCATTGATCTGCTTGAACAGTCGTGCCATTTTTGAGAAATCTTACCTGGAAACCTGGGACCAAACTTTCGAAGTCTATAATCTACAGGTATTGCAACTTTCTAATCTTCAACATTTTCTTTAGTTGATGAAAATTAACATCCTTCAGTTATCAAGTTATATAAAGTCCTTAAAGTCCTTACAGAATGACATGTTGATTAAAGTAACATTTTCCAAAAGAACTAATGGGTCATATTGTAGTGGGAGGTGGTGGGAGTGGGGGTGGGTACGCAATTGTAAATCCCTTTGAGGCAGTAAATTCTATTTTAGGATGTCCACTCGACGTGAAAGATGCTATAGAAATATAATATTTTATTGCTCTGTGAAGTTTTATGCAGCAGTAAATACTAAACTAAGAATGATAAATTATACCAAATCTCTTC